TGGTACGACCTTGCACATTCCAGTGCCTGTGATAAGGAGCCATCTGCTTTTAACGGTTTCTCATTCCTTCTCCCCCCGCCTTTTCCAATGGCAGAACCGCAGCATGTAAAAAGCAATTTCCAAACTATCCATATAACGATCTATTATAAAATCTTGCGAGGATTCTGACACAAACATACAACACATACTGACTCAAATAGCACAATCTAGCAACTTTCTACAACATGACATCATTGAGTGAACCAGGCTGTAAAGCTTCAATCCTCACCCACACAGCTGCCATAAATAAATAAAATTTAATTAATTTTGAACTGTGACTACCAAACAATAGCAATTAGCAAAGTCACAAGTTGCTGAAAAAAAGAAAGTCTACAATTGCAAAAATCACAATATTTATCTGCAGCATTACCATTATTTTAATGCAGCTAACTTGGTCAGAACTAAACCTAACTCAAACCCTAACCCTTGTTTGTCATCGTAGTAGCCAATTATCCCAAATTTTCTTACAAATAATCTCACCACATTTAAGCATTCATAGTTTGTGAGCCCCATTGCGCACAACCGAAGACAGGAAGCCTCCTCTCTCACCAGACTCACTCTAGAAAATTCACATCCAATTTGCGACTAACACAGATCCCAACCCTACAGAACCTGGAAAGGTAAATTAAGAGTTGCACAAAAATTATCAGAAAAACAAAGGTTTATTATAAGTCCTGGGCTACAATAATAACAAATGGCAAAAATATAGATGTTCACCACTCCCCAAGGTCCTGTTAAAAGTTGCACACTTTAAAATATTTTAAAAGTTGCAAGACAGAAAAAAAAAATTAAATACATGGATAACAGCCATAGTGCTACTAGTTTAATTGATTTTATTCTAATTGAATCTTTTTTTTTTGTTTTTTTTATTTTTACAACAAACACAAAACAAACATGAACAAACAAAAACATAAAAAGGCATAAAAAAAAAGCATCTTCCATTTTATACCGTGTGTCAACCAGTTAGACTCGTTGGTGCTCCCTTCGTAATCTTAAATTCTCATATCATCTATTCAAAATATACTTGTATACATATCAATTAACAATTATTAATCATTCATAGCTAATCTATAAAATCATATATTACAAGAAATTTTAACTTTCACTAGGATTAGTAATACATCTCCATCTATCTATTATATGTGTATATATATAATAATTAATATCAAATTTCTATTATAAAATTTCTTAATCTATTACATTACTATATTTTCTCATCTAATCATTAATAAAAACAAATCCCGTGT